TATCAAAACTTCCTTTGTCTTTTCCCTCCAATCCCTCTTAAAGGCTTCTGACTGTAAATCCGGATGGTCGACTGTCCACTTGCGTTCTCTGATCAATAGCATTCTGGCGTCTGCGATTGCCTCGTCTAGTCGTGTACGGGCCTTCTCATCCATGAGTTCATTCTGTGCCTTCTTCAACCTATCGAAAGCGTCTGGTGCCTGTGGATTTTTCGTCTTGTCAGGATGGATGAGTAGTGACTTTTTACGATATTGCATTTTGATGTCGGATTCCGGAACACCCGGCTGGAGGTCAAGGACAGCGTATCTGTAGATTGTTAGCATGATCGTTAAAAAGTCGTATTGGCGAGAACGGCTTACGCGTCTAGTTTGAAGGCATTTAGAATTCCTGTGATTCATCAATTAGCTGGTTATTTACAAATTCGGTGCGTAGTAAAGCGTCGTAGACGTACTTTGAATTTCAGAATCCTGGGACAAAGGTTGCATGTTAGCTATGAGTAAGACGACATGATCTGATGATGTTGCCAGTATTGCGTACCTTCCTGAACTCCAGCTCCTCTCGCTCGATTGCACTCAGCGACTCCTTATCGATCTCGACCTCCCCATCAGACTCCTCGGCCTTGCTGGGCTCCTCCTGCTTCTTCTTCTCCTCTGTAGACGACGACATGGCTGTTGGTTGCGACTGCTGGTTTGGAGGTGATGGGGCTCGGGGAGAGAAGGTGTGCGAGCTGGCCGGCGTTTGCTTGGCGGGCAGGCGCATCTTGCCCAAATCGGCATCCCTGCGGAATTTTTCGCGAAATTCGATTTGGTTTTCAATCTTCAAAAACATTTTTGACATTCTCGACACACGAGCTTGCCGACATCGACGACACAATGGCCAAAGGCCCTAAACTTCCTGGCTCACAGCCGCAGTATAAACCTCGCCGGAAGGAGTCTCGATCGCTGAAACGGAAACGGGAGGAGGAGGAACTCGACACCCTCGAAAAGACGGCGCAAGAATTTGTACGTCCTCACTTCTTCCACCTTTCTATATTATAAACACTCTAACCATTCAAAGGATGCCTCCAATCTATCCAAATTCTCGGAACTACCCATATCTCGAGCGACATCCAGCGGCCTTGACAAATCGCACTTCAAAGTCCTTACCGAAATCCAGCGAAAGGCCATCCCCTTAGCTCTAAAAGGCAAAGATATCCTCGGTGCAGCGAAAACCGGTAGTGGAAAGACTCTTGCCTTTCTAATACCTGTATGTTACCGAACCTTCCACTGCATCAAATTCGCACTCTTTAACACTCTTTCTACAGGTTCTTGAGATTCTACACCGCCGAAAATGGACACCAGAAGACGGCCTAGGCGCTCTCATCATATCCCCTACCCGCGAACTCGCAATCCAAATCTTCGAAGTCCTCCGTAAAATCGGTCAACGCCACTCCTTCTCCGCGGGTCTAGTGATCGGTGGAAAGAACCTCCAGGATGAACGGGAACGATTAGGTCGAATGAACATCCTAGTGTGCACGCCCGGCAGGATGAAGCAACACCTCGAACAGAACCCAGATCTAGATACCTACAACCTCCAAGTGCTCGTGCTCGACGAAGCGGACAGAATATTAGACATGGGGTTCAAAGGTGCCATCGATGCAATCGTACAGGGTATACCCAAACAACGACAGACTCTACTGTTCAGCGCCACCCAGACGAAAAACGTCAATGACCTAGCGAGATTAAGCTTGAAGGATCCAGAATACGTCTCAGTTCATGAATCAGCAGCATCGGCGACACCCGGAAAGTTGCAGCAACACTACATTATTACACCGTTACCGGAGAAATTGGATATATTGTGGAGTTTCATCCGCGCTAATGTCAAGTCTAAGATTCTGGTGTTTTTATCGTCCACAAAGCAGGTGCGGTTCGTATATGAGACGTTTAGGCAGATGCAGCCGGGTATCCCGTTGTTACACTTACACGGCAAACAAAAGCAAACGGCACGGTTGGAGATTACAGCGAACTTTTCGAAATCTAAAAATTCGTGCTTGTTCGCGACGGATGTGGTGGCTCGAGGATTAGATTTTCCGGCTGTGGATTGGGTTATCCAAGTTGATTGTCCCGAGGACGCCGATACGTATATTCACAGGGTGGGGAGGACAGCAAGATATGAACGGGATGGACGGGCAGTTTTGTTTCTGTGTCCAACAGAGGAGAAAGGCATGCTGGCTAGGTTGCAGACGAAGAAAGTACCGATCGAAAGGATCAATGTAAAGCAAAATAAGAAGCAGAGTATACAGAATCAGTTGCAGGGAATATGCTTCAAAGATCCAGAGATCAAATACTTGGGACAGAAGGCATTCACAAGTTACGCAAGGAGCGTATACGTCCAGAAGGATAAAGAGATATTTGACCTGGAAAAGCTGCCGGTGCAGGAATTCGCGACAAGTTTAGGGCTTCCCGGCGCACCGAGAATCAAATTTTTGAAAGGAGAGGATGTCAAACAGCGGAAGAATGCACCTAGGGCATTGCTAAAAGACGAAGATAGTAGCGACGAGGATGAAAGTGATGAAGATGCTAGCAAGAAGGAGAAGAAGAAGGAGGTTCGCACAAAATACGATAGGATGTTTGAGAGACGTAAGTTGCTTCAAATATTTATGCCGAGATTTGCTCACTGACATGCTTTAGAAAATCAAAACATCTTTACATCACATTATACTGAAATGGTACGGCATGATGAGCCTGAAGAGGAAGAGAAAGAGGATGACTTTCTCGCGGTCAAAGGCCATGGTTATGGCTCAGATGCCGAGGACAGTATTGATCCTAAATCTGGTCAGAGATATATCCAAGTACACGGGAAGGATCCACTCTTAGTGGATTCCAAGCGGCGAGAGAAACTAGCAACTTCGAAGAAGGCAATGTTGAAATATAAGGGCAAAGGTACCAAACTCGTGTTTGATGAAGATGGTGAGGCACATGCGATATACGAATTCGAAGACGAAGAAGAGTTCAAGAAGGCAGGCGATGCGGAGGAGCAGAGAGGGAAATTCTTGGATGAAGAGACGAAGAGGGTTGCCGCTGCTGACGAAGATGATAAGAGCTTGGCTAAGGAGAAGAAGAGGGTGAAGAAGGAGAGACAAAAAGCGAGGATGTTAGAGGAGATGGAGGATGACGACGACGATGATGGTGGCGTTCAGTTGATACCTTATGAGGAGGATGACCGAGGTGTCGAAGAACGGGACGATAAAGCACCAGAATTGGTGGAGGAGCGACTGACGAAGAAACAGAAGAAATGGTTCGAGGATGATTCCGATGAAGAGAGGAAGAAGGCAAAGAAGGCAAAGAAGAGGGGCAAAGTTGTGGAAATGCAAGAAGCTCCGGAGACTTTGGACGACCTCGAAGCTCTCGCGGCTGGGTTGCTCGCCTGAGTTTTCTCTATCACGAAATCAGACCTTTCAACTTGAAATTATATCTTGTACCATATTTAAGCTATATTTTGGAACACATTGATTTTAAGGTTACGGAAGATATAGAGCCCATGCTAATAATTCAGGTTTAGCTACAATTTTTCTGTCGGCGAGTCAGCGCCAAATTTCCACCAGTCTACATTCTCTTCCGATTACGTTTCTCAATTGATCAGGTACATCGTTCTAGGGATGCACACCCAATGGTCAGCGAATAAGTCTCCTAGGGAATAATAATGTATATGTTTCTCGAATTTACTTAGAACCAAAGGTAGGCTGAAAACGAGAGGTGTCAGAACAGATATTAATTCGGTCGGCAAGGATAATATAGCTAATCAGACCAGATAATTAAGATCCACAGGTCGCAAGTATTCATAGTCACCTATTTGCTTCTTGATACATTTTATAAAAAGTTACGGAAAGCATCAGTAAATACGTCGACGCACGCTCGTCGCTATTTTACAATTATGTCGCCCTCTTGTTGTCTATGAATGATTCTATAACACAGCATCACGTGGTCTCATAAACCAAACGCTCAATACGAAGATCACGGTTTGCTGAGCTAATGATAAGTTTCATTAATACAATAGGGGTATTCAGATCTCTACAAATCGATTTCCATGTTTGTTTTCATGAAAATATGCTCTTTCGCACATTTTTGATTTGTATAAATTTTTACATAAAATATTTGCGGATTGAAAGTTCAATTGTAAAAATTGATTTATAACTGTATAAATAAGTAATTAAATTCTTAAATAAAAAATCTATAAACTTCATAAATTCTATAAACCCACAAGTAATTTATATTCGCTTTAAGGAAATATTATAAATCGAGGTTCGGATTGTGCAGATGTTTGTGGAAAGTTGAAAAGATTTTATGTATCTCGATTTTTGAAGACATGAATATTCGAATCCGCCTAATGGCATTACACTCTGCTAGCATAACCGACGTACCTTGCACAAAAATGCGAATACCAGTTACAAAATCGATTTAAATCTACCTTTAATCGTTATGCAAGCCGGTGGCAGCCAAACCAGCATATAGGAAACAGGTATAGCGCCATACGAAGCTAGTCTGTAGCAGAGATATCCAGATGAGCGGTAATGGGTAAATTTTGTACTTTTAACGTGAAGTTGGCTTTTCAATTTATCCCAAGTACTACATGGACCTAGTCTAAACCCAGAATCAATTCAACGTTGCTATTTTGGAAATCGGAACACAACAAGACAAGCCACTCGGACCAAGGCTGGGTACAGATGCAGCTATAATTTGCAGTGACACCACAAGTGCACAATTAGCCACTATCGCCTCTGTTCAAAATGTCAAAAGAGCAAAGATTGAATCATCATCCCCTTCTAGTTATAGATCCCAAACGCTAAAATAATCGATCCTAGCGGAGCAGAATGTAGTATACCTTTTTTCGCTGCTAATAATTTTGATACTTGGTTTAAAATTTACATGCCAGCTATATATGCACCAGAGAGCCTTTTAGATAATGCAATATCGGTGTGCAAAGGTTTATATTCTTAATTTAGGCATTCGACTTCAACAAATAAGGGGTCATAGCTCAGTTGGTAGAGCGCTTGCTTAGCGAGCTATCGGGAATCAAATCCCGGTACAGATACTTGCATGAGGTCTTGGGTTCAATTCCCAATGGCTCCATTGTCTTTTGCCAATTTTTCCTAATTTTTTTCCTAATTTTTTGCCATTCTAATTGAGGTTTTTTTCGTCAGAAAAGAGCTCAGGAAGGTCCTTTCCACGATATGGGAAAGTGTGTTGTGTGGGGTTGAAAATTTTTGCTCCTTTGGGTTGAACCCTGACCCCTGTACGTCGATCAGGCTTGCAGCAGGTCTCAAAGGCGGAAAGATCAGCAGCCACGGCCGTTGCAAATAGATGAACAACAGCATCTCTGCTTAGTCTTGTTGCCGGAACTCTACTTCTCAAGGTTAAAGACAATCCCATTGTCGAATCTACTACATACAATTAATGAACTCATCAAGGAAACTTTCTAAGAATTGATCATTCCAGGACACCGTTGCGTTGAATTCTTGCATCGTTAGCTAGTCGCCGGCCTATCCAATGCAAGAACTCAACTTGACTTAATGTCATAAATTGTAAAGTTAATTCTAGAGAGAAACTTAGACCCGAGGGCAACTGGTGGCTCTAGCTAAGAAATCATACAATCGGCATTTCTTTGGCAAGATGATTATATCAACTTACAACATTTTTAATATGCCCTTGCTTTGACAAATTGACGGTGGTTAGCTATTCGAGCACTTAAGTAGTAATATTAACACACTATCCGATCGATTAACCATATATTTATTAGATATTTTAGCTTTCATGGCAGATCGAAAACTCTAATTGAAAGAACGCTAGATTTATCTGTCGAATGGCGTACTCTTAACATCTTTCTCAAACATGGCATATTTTCTGCAAACAAACGACCAGGCTTTGCATCCGATGATTTTAGATTTTCTCCTTCTACATTCTCTCTTCGAGCAAGTATTTAGAGTGTAATAGTATGGCGATTTGTCCAATATATATTCCATCTAGCTTAAATTGCAATACAAATTTTTGCAAAACCACAACGACATCGACATATATATGGCCCTTTAGGAGTAATGGACGGCATTGTGTAAGTTTTCTTTGCGACCATAGTTTCGTTGAGTATACATTCCAACTTCCTATTCCGTAACTGTCCTAGCAATAGAAATTTTCTTGTTTAATAGTCTGGTTACATCACCGAGAGTAATTCCATAATTTCAGCGTAGGAAACCAGACATCCAGAATTGTGGGCTAGGACCCAACGGACAGGTTGACCGCTTTGACAATACGCTTTTGGTTCGAGCCATGGAGCTACAGCGTTAGTAAGTTGAATCATTTCTTGCTCGCTCCTAGCTTGGATATCTCCAACTTGTCAATGTACTTTATTTGAAAAGCACACAAGGCTCCACTCGAGAAAAAAAGTTTGCGCCTTCGCATCCGATCTTGTTAAGCTCCTAGCAAGGGTTACATAGAGTGGAGGCAAGCCCATAAAGCAAGGTTTCTTTCATGTAAGCTCGGGGCTTGCTTGTTTCCCTGCAGAATCACTATATCAATAATATTCTTGGGTCGATCGCTCGGGCCAACGCCACCACCGGCGCCATGGAATGCATCTCGAGATAGTCATATTACGATAGCATGGGAAAGGCTAAGTTCCGCGTCTTCACCAAAGCTACTCCGAACATTCTAGTAGGTTACGTCCTCTAATGGAAATAACCGACGGGTTCAGGAAGAATAGATGACGGATAGTATATACTGGTGTGTTTAAACCAAGACGGAAGGAAGCCCTTGTGTCGACACGAATGATTAATACGCCTTTGCGAATCTGGTTTAAGGTTTTTTGTGGCATATACCGCCTCAAACTCACCACCGGGGCCTTGTCCAGATCTTTCTTATTCACGAATAATACATACCCTATAAAATGACACAAAGGAAATCGGATGCGGGGATTCTCTATCAAGATAACTCTTCATTGGTGCCCGCGGACCCGCTTTCTCTTCGGGGAGCCAGTGCCTAATCTTTATGGTCTAGTCCACAGTTCTCACGTCTCCGCCCTCGTTGCGATATCGCAGATCGCGATACCGTCCGCGATTTAATGACCATTTTCAGGCGGCAGCGGCTGAGCTTCAAAGTTTGAAGTGAGTTACTTTGTGAGCATGAACTGCGGACTTTCTTTCCGAGCCCGAGTGGGCGTCATGTCCTCGGGTTCGTGCACGAGTCGCTTTTAGCACTGTCGTCGTTCACGTATACATCAATCAATGTACATGTACTTTACATCCAGCATTTTGCTAGGCTCTTTTACGATTTAGAAAGTCAGCCACAACGGTTTTGGCTGCGCACCCGCATAGCTAGCGTGATGGAAATTCCAAGGAAATTTTTCTTGATTCTTGTGTCCTTGTTTCTCCCGCTTTGATGCAAAGCTTCATCCATTTTGCGGGCTGCAAGCCAAACGAGATATGGCTTGCGCTTGGAGGTTTCTAGGCCTCAATAGATCCCCAATGCCGTCTTTCAGATATCTGATGACAGGGACCCATGACGGAGCTCTTCCGCCATCGACTAAATCTCCTGCAAGAACGATATCAAAAGTGGAAATGTAATAGCAGGACTGAAGACCCCGCTGCAGAGAAAGGACGAGCGGTCACTCTCAAGTTGGCCTAGTTCAGCTTTTGGGGCCACATTGATTTACAGGTATCACAACCCGTTAACATATAACCGCCAACCCATCCTGCATTCTAGTCGCCTAAATTCGGTAAGGAGCTGTATCTTCGGGACGTGAATTCACGAAGATCTTTTGCATTGTGCATATTGTGATCTGTAAGTATGCAGCTCCGTTGAAACTATTGAACTCAGGGTGGTGACCCTTTCCGTAGTTCGTCGGAAGACTCGTAAATTTTAGTGTGGAGTTTAAATTGAGGTTATAGCGGTGGCGCTGGCTGTTGCGGGCTATTTTCTCGCCACAAATCCAAGCTCAGACATTTCGAGTGGCAAGATTGTCAGGTCTGGACGGAAATCCCACTCCAACGCGCCCAAAAAATATCCATCTGAAGGCTATAACGGAATCTATTATAGCTGCATGATCAATTAGTTAACTTAGATTAAGTCCTTAAGCTTTAGCTTTGGTGGAGAAAAAAAAAGCCACCCTCCAAAGCGAATAAACAACAATTCTGGAGCGCGACGCCCCACAAAGGATTCGTACATCTGCCAAACACCAAAAGTTTTATCCACTGTGGAGTTCTTTCTACCCTAAAGTCTACGTGTAAACTCGGTCCGGAAAGGCGGCACTGTTTACATTCATACAGCGACTGTGTCTGCTATCGCAAATGTACCAAATTCCGCCTCAAATTGCGGTGAACAAGCCTGTGGCGTCCACACCAAGCGGACGTTTCTCGGCACGATCCACTAACTAGGCCCAGACCACCACCCACAGCTCTGCAACTGCCCTGCTGGCAGATCGAGCAAGATAAAATTTACGAAATATAGCGGTATTATTGAGACTCCTGAAGTCAATCTTCTATAACAATTGAATCCGAACCTACATTGGCCTCAGCAGTCTTGGGGCGTTCACTGGGGCTGGCGAATAGATCCGTCTACCGGTGCTCCGTTTCTAGGCTATCTTATCGCGGCTGGGGCGCCACGCCGAATAATCAATGGGCGAATGTTTTCACCTGCAGATTGACGTTATCATAGATACTTTCGTTGCTCCCCCAAGTGTTTCCGTTTTCGTTTGTTTTTTGTCGTTTATATATCCTTTTAGCAGCGGCATATAAAATATTCGGTTGATATACCGCCCGAGATCGAATATATAGCAATGTTACCATAGTATCGCTTGTATTGATACCTGAAATGTCGCATATTTATAATCGGAAATTCTTCACCGATCACAGGCTACCAAATATACCGGTGCCGAATCCATGGGACATCTAGATCTGCACCAAGCCACAGGGTGAAATGACGGCCGGATGGTTTGCAAAGAAGGTGTTGTATATCCACGGATCAACATACTCTAATCCAGGTTTCTGCTCATTGCCGGGTTACCAAAGTTATTAAGAGGTTGGTTTGCTGGCAAGCGGATGCAGCTATAGGACCCTGCATTTAAGATTTTAAAGCAGTGATTTGACCGACATGCATTATATTGATAGATAGGTACACCGGACGAGTCTCAAGGCCAAATTGACACCGTATGTATTCTCGACTACATGCCATAATATACCCATCTGCATAGTGTTTATCACTATCCAATTCAAAACCCTCGGTATCTAGTCTACGAGAAAACTCTACTAGTAAAGTATTTCGTAATATATCCTTATATCTGCGGAAGTTTTTTATTACCTGCGATCTTCTAACTTTTACCCCAAAGTCATCACACATTTTTAGTTCGTGGTTAATCAAGTTGTAATGATTTTTTCTTTACTATTCTAATCAAAACAGTCTCAGGGCCAAAGAGCGAATCGGGTTCGCTTTGAAGGCGATCGTTCACACGCGACTTTTACGGGTATGATTGGAGCATAGATATTTCTGTGTTGTTACTGTTGGATTTTAACCATAATATCCAAAGTTGATCACAGAAATACTTCAAAAAGTAATTTCAGAGTGGAACTTCAAGGTTCGAATTGTGTGAATATTTGATGCTGGATGACTAGTTGTCAAGCAATCAGCGCACGGAGACCTGCCCCAAGCGCAAGATTGAATATCGCCTCCATGGCCACGGCTTCAGCTCCCGAACATTGACGCCACATAAATCTGCGAAAACGCGATGCATGCTGGTTTGATTGCTTCGCGTGTTCTGCCCCATCAGTATATCAATATATTATAATATTGCCAAGCATCATGGCTGAAGGTTTTCGGCGGCAGGAACAATCAGTTTCAAGATTCACCCGTCCCAAATTAAAAGCCCTACTCCGGCTAACGGCTGACTGCCGTTTTCACGGGTGACACAGGGGATCAAACGAAATGAGTGACCCTGAGCGTGGGCAAACAATATCACACTCTGGCCGCACTGGCATACTCCAAAACTCTCACGATCCCGTCTCAGTCTCGTGCCCAGGGCGACGATATAGTCTCTACTCACAAAGCATTAATCAGAAACTTATTGATTTGCGTAGTGTCACTCGGCTTAA